CTAAATTTTACCCTGATAATAAATGAAGATGAATCTGAATTTACCTTAGAAGGCAGATCTGGAAGCAAAGAATGAAGGCTAGCAAACATGTTCCTCATTTCATTTCTCCTTTCTCTTTCGTTCCATATGTGCATTTCATGATGAGAATCATGATATTTTCCATATTTCCCTTTTTGATTTTTAATATTCCTTCCACTTTTAATCACAGGCTCACCTCGACTTCGTTTTCCTTTCACAGGAACTTCTCCGTCATTAATTACTTCATCCTGGTTCATTGAATTCATATCTAAAATTCTTTTGCTACTTCCACCAATGTTATCTAAATTTGTGAGCTCACCTGATAATTGACTTTCTCACATGGAACCGATATTTTGAACATGATCTACACTTGTTATCATATTTGTTTTTGAGGGAAAAAAAAGAGTGTAACATAGAAAAAATAAGATGAAAAAGAAGTGGTGAAGAATGATGTGTTTATATACAAGTAAAGTAGAGTTAAGTTAAAGCTATTGTGAAAGATAATATTAAAATAAAAAAATAAAATGACAACTTTTATGTAGAAGCATCTAGAATATAATTATAATATTGTTACTTTAAATCTTAAAAAAAAATGATAAATTAATTATATTAATATTAAAAAATGGACAAAAATGTAAAGTTGTGTATTTCTCACGCATTAGGTTCCGACCAAATATGATTTATTAAAATATATTAATATTAAATTATATAAAAACAATTAAAATATAATTTATAATTTACCAAATTAATTAGATTAGGAATAATAATAATTTTTTTTTATGTAAAATCAAGTGCATAACTCATATTCTAGATCTTCCCAACGTACATATATAAAGATATATTAAATTATATAAATAAAATTTAATTATAATATAAATTTGACCAAATTTACTAGGAATAATAATATTTAATAATAAGATTTTTTTTTTAAAAACTGTGAGCATAACTCTATCTTCTAAATCTTCCAAACTCCATCTTCTAGACATTTTCATGGGAAGGTCTAATGCACACAATTTCTTATATATAAAAAGATCTAGAAGATGGAGTTATGTCCACACTATTTCATATAAAAATAATTATTTTTAGACTTCATTATACCAAATAAATTTAATTTATATATATATATATATATATATATATATATATATATATATATATATATATATATATATATATATATATATATATATATATATATATATATATATATATATATATATATATATATATATATATATATATATTAGCTTTCTATTCTCAAAAGAAAATAATGGGTGGTGGTTATCTAAAATAAATATGGAATAATTCAAATTTTATCAGCGGTAAATACATATATAAAAAGGGATAAACATTCAAATTATTTAATCAATTATATTGACTAATAATGTGAATTAAAAAGTGTTTAATCTACATTTTCAACCAAAGAACGTAAATAATATATACAAAAAGTACTCTCATCATTGTAGGCATAACAAAAGAGAAAGAGTAATGACAATTTGGATGCTGGTGTTAGAATTAATTAATAACTAAATATATACTAAAATTTAGTTTCATAATGAGTTATTTTCTAAATTAGATGCTTAGTTTGATTTTTTTTTCCAGATTGATAAGTAAACCATTGTGGATGCAACAGTGAAGGAAATAAAAAATTTACAACAGATTCTTGAAAATCTAGAAAAGAAGCAACAAAAGCTTAAATTTATGTCCCCATTTGTGAGTGATTCATAATCTGTGACGAACTTACCATTGAATTCATATGAATCAAGGAAAATTATCATAGTTGATTAAGGACCCTCTAATTATAATAATAAAATTTTTATTAGTGTCATCGAAACGTCAATACATTATTGCTATATGCACCTCCACTGCAACAAGTAGCTTTTAAAACATGGTCTTCTAAAAATATTGTGTTGAACATTTGTGGAGGTGAAGTACAATTTTGAATTTGTCCAAGTAAGAAGTCGGGTCTCTTGACAACAATTTCTTTTGTGTTGGAAAAACATATGATTGATGTTGTATCAACATTACGTGCAATGAAAATGGAAATGTGTACATGATTCTAGTTCATGTAAGTTTCAAACTCGATATATCCCCTCTTTATAGTTTATATTAGATATCACAATAAATTTTTCAAATTTCCCCGTATAGTGATACCAAACATCCATATTATTGTACCTCAGAAAAAGAACATGACCTCACAAGGAAAAGCTTGTGGATGGACTTACAGAGAGCCGCCACTGAACTTTATTTATTCCTAAAATAGGGAAAGGGGAATTATTGATAAAACCCATAGACTAAAAAGGATAGGACATGGTCGTCACAACCAATATCAGGTTCGGAAGTCGGTTTTTCAATGAGAAGGTATTAGCACACCATGCACTCGTTGTACTCAATATGAACCATCTAGGTTGTCTACACATGAAAGGGTGTCATTTATCTAAAGCTTCATCTTTTAAAGGGAAATGAATGCTTTTTATATTAGGACACTTGCCTCTAAATAAGTGTTTGTTGGTTGATTTTTCCTTGAAAAAAGATTTTTAGAGTAAGGCCCTAAGGCACAAAAAAAGAGAAGTTTGATGATCAGTGGATGTTGTTTTTAGGATTTTTGAAAGTTGTTCTTGATTAGGATTACACTAAAGACTATAGTTAGAGGTGATCATTTTGAGCTACCAAGCCAAATCTCTTATGTCAAAATCATTAGAGTGAGTGTAGTAAAGCTCCAATCTCATTCCTTCTCCACCACTTAAGACTCGTGGCGCTTAATCCTAATCGTAGCTTATTGTGTTTTGAATTTGCTTGAGAAAAAGCCACTTGATGTTGGATCAAGGGTTTGTTTGGTTTATTAAGAAAATGTTTTGGTGAATGGGAAGGTTGATGGCGATGCAAGAGCAATTGACTTATAAAGGGTGAATGCAAAAAGAAGTGTAATTGGTTGAGGGTTGACGGTGATGGAAACCCTATTGAATTTGATTTTATGAAAAATGTTTGACGTTGGATCAAGCTTTTTCGTTTTCTTTTGAAAAGGATGATTGATTTTATTCTTGCATTAAAAGTCTAAGCAACTAGCAATCAAAGAGAAAGAGGTAAAATTATTATACGTCGTGGAAGTGGGGATACATTTTCTCAAATGGGGATAAGAATAGACAATACACGACCCAGAGAATAAACTAAAAGTGCACTAGCAAAGTGGGCTAGTATTTTAAATGACCAACTAGAAGTAATTGATCAAATAAGTCTCATTGTAAGAAAGCCCGAGAGTAAGCTATGAATGATGTGAAATGGTGTCCGAAGATAAAGCAATAAAAGTAGAGAAGTCTAATCCTAAAACTCCCTTGCTAGGGTTTATGTACAAGGTCCAAAACACTATGATGCCAGGGATAGTAACCATAGTCCAAGATTAGATGTTTTTTAGGGTTTTTGATCATTTTATCATGGTTTTGTGTTTTTTAATGAGATGAACAAATGAAGATCAAGATGTCAATAATGAATAACGAAACATATGGACAATGAAATAAATGAAAAAATGGTAAATGGAGAAAAGTAAATAGCAGAAATGTAAAAGTTAGATGTTAGTTATTAATTGTTATTGATTGGATGACCACTTTCTCGAATCGGGACCAATTTAGCGCTATGTTAAGCAATCGTAGCACAACCTATGAGGAATATCAAACTATAGAAGGCCGGTCAATAACAATATTTGTGTTAATACATGCTAGAGAAACGATATGTAGTTCATTCTTCTTAAGTCATGCCACATAAATAGAAAAAGAGAACGGTCTCATCTTAATCAAGAGATTCAAAATGATCAATGAAAGGCAACTTATAAATACCTCAAAATATCAAGAATGATCCAATGATCATTCATTAATAGGTTCGAAGCATTAAAGGTTTAATCCACCTAGTGGCATTACTTCATGACTTTTAATATTTTTCATCAACCAAAAAAGAAAATAAAAAAACAAGTAAACAAAAATAGATAATATAAAATAAAATAAAGAGGATTTAGAAAATAAAAGATAAAAAAACAAGAAAAATAAGTTTAAAAAAAATAAAATAAAAAGAAGAATAAGGGAAGGTGCATGAATGGATCATGAGGTGTGTAAAGAATTCTAACATGGGATTATGAAAGCCCAAACCAAATCACTAAGAAATAAAAATTAAAAGACATGAATTTTTTTTATAACAAAAAAAGAAAGAAAAAACAACAAATCAGAAGAGATGCATTTCTTTTCTTCTTCAACCGACCAACCTTCCTCGGCGGATGGGCAGAAAGCTAAGTGCTCCCCCAAATTGGCGGGACTTAGGCAATTGAGCCGTTCTGGGAGCAGAAGTGGATTGGGTCATGCCTAGCCATTAGGCCAGTCCGAGACAGAAATAATAATTAAATAATATTTAAATATGAAATATTCTAACAATCTCCCACTTAAGCAATATATGTTAATAATTATATCATAGTTCAATAGGCGGACTTCTGAATGCTATTTATTTTTAGATTTCAACTTTATAATCTATGGTAAGGAGAGTATATCAAATAGAGAGAAGTAAAACCAGTAGAGAAATGGGAAGAGTAAGAGGAATACATAGAAAGATTGTACGAGAAGTTTTTAAGAAAGATCTTGAGATTCAGAATTTAGATAGAATCATGGTCCTGGGTAGAACATTATGGTAAAAGTTGATCCATGTAGTCAGCCCCTTCTTAGTGTGATAAGGCTTGATTGTTGTTGTTATTGTTGTTGTACAACTAATGTTCATAACTTTGAAATAGAAAACACGTAAAGTATATATAAACTAATTTAAACACCACATTTTATGCCTCATAACAAAATAGAAATAACTACAATTCAATAAAAATTGAAATATTATACTTGTTTGCTCATTACACCATCCTCTAACTTTGGCCCTTTTTAAAAAAAAATTATGAGAAAAATTAAACGAAATTAAAATTCATACAAAACGAGAAGACAAATTATATGATTAAAATTTTAAGATATCCACATCGAAATTTCTCCAGCCGCTTGCTTGTAAGTTTCCTCCATTGAAATTTTGTTATATGAACCATGGCTTCCCTGCAAAATAACGCAATGCAATTATTTTTGTTTAATTAATAATTATTATATGTATTTGATAATGTATTATTGTATATGGATATTTGGTATCACTCTACGGGTAAATTTGAATATTTTATTTTTATATTCAATATAAACAATAAAGAGGGGATAGATCGAGTTTGAAACTTACATGAACTAGAATCATGTACATATTTCCGTTGCGCGTAATGTTGATAGATACAACATCAATCATATGTTTTTCCAACACAAAAGAAATTATTGTCAAGAGACCTGACTTCTTACTTGAACATATGCAAAATTGTGCTTCGCCCCCACAAATGTTCAACATAACATTTTTAGAAGACCATGTTTGAAAAGCTACTTGTTGCGGTGGAGGTGCATATAGCGATAATGCATTTGAAGTTTCAATTGCACTAATAGGAAATTTATTATTATTATTATTATTAGAGGGTCCTTGATCAACTATGATATATTTCCTTGATTCATATGAATTCAATGGTGAGTTCGTCACAGATGATGAATCACTCACAAATGGGAACATAGATTTAAGCTTTTCTTGCTTCTTCTTTTCTAAATTTTCAAGAATTTGTTGTAAATTTTTTATTTCCGTCACTGCTGCATCCACAATAGTTGACTTATGAACCTGAAAAAAAATCAAATTAAGTATCTAATTTAGAAAATAGCTCATGGCAATACTAAATTTTACCCTGATAATAAATGAAGATGAATCTGAATTTACCTTAGAAGGCAGGTGTGGAAGCAAAGAATGAAGGCTAGCAAACATGTTCCTCATTTCATTTCTCCTTTCTCTTTCGTTCCATATGTGCATTTCATGATGAGAATCATGATATTTTCCATATTTCCCTTTTTGATTTTTAATATTCCTTCCACTTTTAATCACAGGCTCACCTCGACTTTGTTTTCCATTCACAGGAACTTCTCCGTCATTAATTACTTCATCCTGGTTCATTGAATTCATATCTAAAATTCTTTTGCTACTTCCACCAATGTTATCTAAATTTGTGAGCTCACCTTATAATTGACTTTCTCACATGGAACCGATATTTTGAACATGATCTACACTTGTTATCATGTTTGTTTTTGAGGGAAAAAAAGAGTGTAACATAGAAAAAATAAGATGAAAAAGAAGTGGTGAAGAATGATGTGTTTATATACAAGTAAAGTAGAGTATAGTTAAAGCTATTGTGAAAGATAATATTAAAATAAAAAAATAAAATGACAACTTTTATGTAGAAGCATCTAGAATATAATTATAATATTGTTACTTTAAATCTTAAAAAAAATTGATAAATTAATTATATTAATATTAAAAAAATGGACAAAAATGTAAAGTTGTGTATTTCTCACGCATTAGGTTCCCACCGAATATGATTTATTAAAATATATTAATATTAAATTATATAAAAACAATTCAAATATAATTTATAATTGACCAAATTAATTAGATTAGGAATAATAATAATTTTTTTTATGTAAAATCAAGTGCATAACTCATATTCTAGATCTTCCCAATGTACATATATAAAGATATATTAAATTATATAAATAAAATTTAATTATAATATAAATTTAACCAAATTAACTAGGAATAATAATATTTAATAATAAGAATTTTTTTTTTAAAAACTGTGAGCATAACTCTATCTTCTAAATCTTCCAAACTCCATCTTCTAGACATTTTCATGGGAAGGTCTAATGCACACAATTTCTTATATATAAAAAATCTAGAAGATGGAGTTATGTCCACACTATTCCATAAAAAAATTATTATTTTTAGACTTCATTATACCAAATAAATTTAATTTATATATATATATATATATATATATATATATATATATATATATATATATATATATATATATATATATATATATATATATATATATATATCTATATATATATATATATATATATATATATATATATATATATATATATATATATATATATATATGTTAGCTTTCTATTCTCAAAAGAAAATAATGGGCGGTGGTTATCTAAAATAAATATGGAATAATTCAAATTTTATCAGCGGTAAATACATATATAAAAAGGGATAAACATTCAAATTATTTAATCAATTATATTGACTAATAATGTGAATTAAAAAGTGTTTAATCTACATTTTCAACCAAAGAACGTAAATAATATATACAAAAAGTACTCTCATTATTGTAGGCATAACAAAAGAGAAAGAGTAATGACAATTTGGATGCAGGTGTTAGAATTAATTAATAACTAAATATATACTAAAATTTAGTTTCATAATGAGTTATTTTCTAAATTAGATGCTTAGTTTGATTTTTTTTCCAGATTGATAAGTAAACCATTGTGGATGCAACAGTGAAGGAAATAAAAAATTTACAACAGATTCTTGAAAATCTAGAAAAGAAGCAACAAAAGCTTAAATTTATGTCCCCATTTGTGAGTGATTCATAATCTGTGACGAACTTACCATTGAATTCATATGAATCAAGGAAAATTATCATAGTTGATTAAGGACCCTCTAATTATAATAATAAATTTTTTATTAGTGTCATCGAAACGTCAATACATTATTGCTATATGCACCTCCACTGCAACAAGTAGCTTTTAAAACATGGTCTTCTAAAAATATTGTGTTGAACATTTGTGGAGGTGAAGTACAATTTTGAATTTGTCCAAGTAAGAAGTCGGGTCTCTTGACAACAATTTCTTTTGTGTTGGAAAAACATATGATTGATGTTGTATCAACATTACGTGCAACGAAAATGGAAATGTGTACATGATTCTAGTTCATGTAAGTTTCAAACTCGATATATCCCCTCTTTATAGTTTATATTAGATATCACAATAAATTTTTCAAATTTCCCCGTAAAGTGATACCAAACATCCATATTATTGTACCTCAGAAAAAGAACATGACCTCACAAGGAAAAGCTTGTGGATGGACTTACAGAGAGCCGCCACTGAACTTTATTTATTCCTAAAATAGGGAAAGGGGAATTATTGATAAAACCCACAGACTAAAAAGGATAGGACATGGTCGTCACAACCAATATCAGGTTCGGAAGTCGGTTTTTCAATGAGAAGGTATTAGCACACCCTGCACTCGTTGTACTCAATATGAACCATCTAGGTTGTCTACACATGAAAGGGTGTAATTTATCTAAAGCTTCATCTTTTAAAGGGAAATGAATGCTTTTTATATTAGGACACTCGCCTCTAAATAAGTGTTTGTTGGTTGATTTTTCCTTGAAAAAGGATTTTTAGAGTAAGGCCCTAAGGCACAAAAAAGAGAAGTTTGATGATCAGTTGATGTTGTTTTTAGGATTTTTGAAAGTTGTTCTTGATTAGGATTACACTAAAGACTATAGTTAGAGGTGATCATTTTGAGCTACCAAGCCAAACCTCTTGTGTCAAAATCATCAGAGTGAGTGTAGTAAAGCTCCAATCTCATTCCTTCTCCACCACTTAAGACTCGTGGCGCTTAATCCTAATCGTAGCTTATTGTGTTTTGAATTTGCTTGAGAAAAAGCCACTTGATGTTGGATCAAGGGTTTGTTTGGTTTATTAAGAAAATGTTTTGGTTAATGGGAAGGTTGATGGCGATGCAAGAGCAATTGACTTACAAAGGGTGAATGCAAAAAGAAGTGTAATTGGTTGAGGGTTGACGGTGATGGAAACCCTATTGAATTTGATTTTATGAAAAATGTTTGACGTTTGATCAAGCTTATTCGTTTTCTTTTGAAAATGATGATTGATTTTATTCTTGCATTAAAAGTCTAAGCAACTAGCAATCAAAGAGAAAGAGGTAAAATTATTATACGTCGTGGAAGTGGGGATACATTTTCTCAAATAGGGATAAGAATAGAAAATACACGACCCTGAGAATAAACTAAAAGTGCACTAGCAAAGTGGGCTAGTATTTTAAACGACCAACTAGAAAATAAAAGATAAAAAAAACAAGAAAAAGAAGTTTTAAAAAATAAAATAAAAAGAAGAATAAGGGAAGGTGCATGAATGGATCATGAGGTGTGTAACGAATTCTAACATGGGATTATGAAAGCCCAAACCAAATCACTAAAAAATAAAAATTAAAAGACATGAAATTTTTTTATAAAAAAAAAGAAGAAAAACCAACAAATCAGAAGAGATGCATTTCTTTTCTTCTTCAACGTGATACATCTCACTCCCACCTTTCCTTTATGCTCTGTATGGCGGTTCCCACCAGATTTCACCCTCACTTTCTCGATTTCAATTCTATGATTTCGCAGTCTCTCTTCCTATTCTTTTGCTTCAGTCTCTCTTTTTTCATCTCTCTCTACTCGATATCAATATCGTGGTATGATTGTTGTAGTTATTGATTTGTGAGTTTGAAGGGTTAGTGGTGCTACTTATTTGAATTGATTGGCATGTTTTGTTGAAGGTTGAAGAAGGATAGAGGATGTATTTTTGAAGTTGTGAGGCTGTTGTTTAAACGAATTTGTTGTTGAAGGTTGTGTTTGCAGTTGAGGGAAATTTGGGAGAAATTTGGAAGAGTAATAATGGCTATCTAAAGCTTGGTTTTGAGGGCGGAGAAAAGGTTTATTTATATTATTGAAAAGTGAGGAGTGATTTGCAAGATGTTTTCGTTTTGGTGGATTTGGAATTGAATTCATTTTGTAATTTTGTTTTGCAATTGCGTGGAATGTGACATTGTGGTTTTGCAATCCATTTTGTAGGTGGTTATTTCGCGTGAAAGGCTTGTTTTCATGGCTTGGATATTTTGTGGAAAGGCTTGGATTTTAATGTTTTGCTGTGACGTGTGCTGGGTCGGCTTGGTTGTGAATCATTGTAGCAGGTATGCCTTACATGTGTTTTGGAGGCTTGAAGCTGAAGGTTGTGTGTTTCCTGCTTGTGTGTAGAGTGTGTTGGATATTTTCTAGTAAGAAATGGCTGGAATATTGTGGGTGTTAGAACAAGATTTGTTCTTGACATATTCTCTTTTAGTTTTGATTATAACAAAAGTATTAAAAGAATAATGGTCTATTAGATGTGTGTTTTATTTATGCAGGTTCTTCTTGTTAGAATACAGATTGATGTTCAATATATCTCATTGTTTTGATGATAACATTAATGAAATTTTGTATAGAGAATTTATATACACTAATTTTGTTCAAGTGTTTATTTGTTTCTGATATCAAAATTAATATTATTTTGGAAGCAAGAACGCCTCTGAACACCAAAGAACGAAAAAGCTCTGAGTGTCAGAAGCAACACTTCAGAAGACTCTGATCTGCTACAGATGACTCTGAGTGAAACTAAGAAGAATTTGAGTAAAGAGCGTACAACATTGTTTCAGAAGACTCTGGAAGTACTTCACGCTGCAAGTACAGAGGCTCTGATATTCAACTCTACGCTGATTGTAACATTCACGCTTAAGCGTTATTGCTGCAAGACTCTGATCTGAAGAACAAAGAACTACATCAGAGGATCTGATGTTAGTTTTAATTGAAGGATATATTTATTTATTTATTTGAAAAGATGCCAGCTCAAAGAAAAGATCCTTTGCTAATCCCAACGTCTGCTCCAATGACATTATTCCTCATTTATGCATGACACAAGAATTCAGACACAAGGCACATATCTGAACATTCCTCTTCTTGGAAAGGAAAAGTCAATAGAAGACAAAAAGGCAACAGAGGCAGCAGAACATACAACAATGCACAGTCTTTGAGATAAGGACTTGAAGTAGTATTTAAACTAGCTTCAGCATCTTTCCAACGTTGACGCATATAGACGAATCATTTGAAAGAAAAAAAACTCACAAGCTCTCATTCAAATATTCTTCAAGCTTAACAGTTTTCATATTCGTTCTTAATTTTGTGTAAACATCATTGTTGTGATATAGCTTGTTAGAAGTAAAACCTTAAACACAAATTGTTAGTTTATCTTTGTAAAAGATTTCCTTAAGAAGACCAAGTTGTGGTCAGA